TTTTGTTTTATATTTTGATTGTCATATACATGCTTTTGCAATACTGTAAAATGATGCGGTCATGCAAATAAAGCAATTTATTACTATTACTATTACTGCTACTACAGGTACTACAGGTACTAGAGCTACTACAGGTACTACAGCTACTACAGGTACTACAGCTACTACAGCTACTACAGGTACTACAGGTACTACAGCTACTACAGGTACTACAGATACTACAGGTACTACACCTACTACAGGTACTACACCTACTACAGGTACTACAGCTACTACAGGTACTACAGGTACTACAGGTACTATAGCTACTACACCTACTACAGGTACTACACCTACTATAGCTACTACAGCTACTACAGGTACTACACCTACTACAACTAGTACAGGTACTACAGCTACTACAGCTACTCCAGCTACTACAGCTACTACAGTTACTACACCTACTACAGCTACTACACCTACTACAGGTACTACAGGTACTACAGCTACCACAGGTACTACAGGTACTACAACTAGTACAGGTACTACAGCTACTACACCTACTACAGGTACTACAGCTACTACAGGTACTACAGCTACTACAGGTACTACACCTACTACAGGTACTACACCTACTACAGCTACTACACCTACTACAGGTACTACAGCTACTACAGGTACTACAGCTACTACAGCTACTACAGGTATTGTTGTGTCTACTAGAGCACAAACACTACAGCACTAACAGTGGTGGGCGGTGGTTCGGGACATTTTGGGCAGACTTACGTAATGGCCGAAAGCCGTTTTGAAGCACTTTCAAGGGAGATTTTTTTGCATACCTAATCGACAACAGACATGTCTTATAGATTGGATACTTTGGCTAAGCCATGTTGAAGTGTCATGTATGGGAGAAGGACCATTTAGGTGGTTAATTTTCGTCCATTTGGCTCCTCTGATGAAGCAGATAAAGCGTTCACGAGGTCGTTTGTTGTGATATGTTGATTTGTTGACATTCAAGCGGTCACGGATTTCTGGGTTATCGTCCACGATCTGCAGAGCTGCCTAACATTTAGGTAAGATATACCCCTTGATTTACTTTGTAAAATGTGGAGCAGCATCATCGAATGTTATGTGTTAAAATTATAGCAGCCTGAATTCAACGTAATTTATGTGACCCTGGTATTTTTGTAGTAGTTGACCCTGACCGTAGAGCGAGATCCAGTTATATATCCCACACAAGCGACTAAACAGGTTAAATTTCTCTTTCGGTCACTCCGTATTTTCACTTTTAATGATTAATTCAAAGGGGGGAAGTTCGAGTATTTTGATACTGTTTAGCGGCATGAAATCAACAAGCAAATGTCCTACTCTTACAAGTAAGGCCATAGCCGGATGTTTCCTTCCATTTTCGAAAATTTGCTTTTCTGGTTTACATTGGTGCTCTATGGCGATTACTTATTCTCAGAGATTAAGAGATCGAGGCGGTGGATTGTGAAATATTATTTGCTAAAACTTCGTTAAAGATGAACAAATTTTTCTTGTCCTTTTCAACCTTGTTTTTAGATTTTTCGTTAACATGTAAAAGTATATCCCAACAAAACTTATTTGTAAGAGCATTGTTTCGGAACACTCTTTCATTCTTGAAGGTTTGATTTTGCATCCAAGGGGGGTGGGGGGAACACTGATAAATTTGCGTTTTAATAATCATGCACTGTAAGCTCTCAGATTCGCTGACAAGAACCCTCACCATTTGGAAGATGATTTTATTCTGATAATTATTCAATGATGATTTGTTTATACATACAAAATTGGCGCCTAAAAGAATTGTAATGTTATGCTTAAAATGTTTACATAATGTCTTGAAACATAACTGAAATCAATATAAAATATGAAAATACACATATGTGCATTCTTTTCGCTGCCCTACTATAAAAGTGATTTAATAAGTGTGATTTAATCCATTTTCATATGACCATTACAAATATATTACTCCCACTTTGACACTAGCACAAGTTCAAGTGCAAAACAATTCTTGCCCTTGTTCACCTTTGTACTTGCTGGACTGCCATTCCTGTTTGAAGTACAGACAACACTGGACATGAAATCCCTGTATTTCATTCCTTACATTGGCATCCACATAAGAATTAGCTTCATCACATACAATGTATTTGTACGCTTACAAAAATCATAAATGTTATTATTCCTTTTCTATGCAAAAGATTTCTTTCCTTCTTGAATATAAATTCGTATCCATGACACTTTAGAAATCCTGAAATATCTAAAGGAGTATCGCTAGTTGTGGCAACAACTAAATGCCATAGGGGTAACTTTTCACTCTCCGATAGAAATAGATCTTTTGATACTCTGGGTCTCATATATTCAGTGTTTGTGCACATGAATTTAGGAGCACTTGGCTTGCCAATGTCGGTTTGGTTGTGTATACACTGTAGTAGTGTATATCGACATGTATCATGGGCTGCACAAGTTGCAATTTATGTAAAATTGCCCCTGAAACAAGCTCATTGATGTTCCTGGTGTCGCAAGATGATAAGTTATGAGAAATTTCATTTGCCTTTTTCCTGTTCCAAGAGCTCCCTATGAGATGCTCAGCACTAAACCTTGTTGATTCAGGTGATAGTCATTGAGGACGACTGCATCGTCACATTTAAACTAGTCGCACTTTTCACTCAAGCCATAGCAGAGCTGGTACAAAATGGCGACTATCCATTTTTTATTTTAACCTATGCTGTCTGCAGAATGTGAAGGGTCTGTCACTCCATCCTGAACTGCATCAAATAGCCTTGGTGCCCCAGAAGACACACAGAACACAGACAGGCTTTAATTTTAATGAGTCATACATTGGCTCACTTGAAGCTACCATAAACTAGGACTTTATAAATATCAGGCTTTAAGATCCTTAAGTTCTCCTCATGTTGAAATTGAATGAAAAGGAAAACTTAGAGCTAATTTTCTCTCATTTTCAATTTTTTAATCTTAGCCCAGATATGGGCTAGTCAAGGGAGCTAGGCCTTATTAGTTATATCTTAAATAATTAACACATGTGCAGTAGAAAATACCAACAACAAAATTTATGAAAAGCAAAAATGAGTGCAAGCATGGAAGTATCAGAAGCAGAAAGTTCACTTCAATGTCTCAGAGAGAAAATGCAGTTTAAGATATGACTATGATCTTTACTATTTTAAGTATTTTCACTGTTATGTGCATATTTGCAATTTTCTAGTATGTAGAAGTGTGGGGAGTAAAGGGAAGGATTTTTCATGGTTAGGGTTACCTCAATAAAACACATCTGTAATATGAAACATCTTGTACCACACTCCTGTTTTGGGTCATCTAATTCTTTATTTTAGAAGTATAAGGGGCATCTTGGAGTCAAGAGCCTCCATATTACAAAATTCTGCCTACACCCCTGAATTAGTTAAGGCATCACATAGATTTAATAGATGTCATTTCTTGAGTGTGGGTCTTCAGTTTTATATCATCTAGTCAAAAAAGGAAACATACAATTTCATAGCCCTGGGTGGGATATCTTTGAAATTTTATCAGTCGCAGAATTAGGGCACTGCACCTGCTTTGGCCACTGGTGGTTAGGATGGGGTATCTCTGAAAAGTAATCACTGGCAGAATCACTGCACTAAGGTTGCACATCTCTGAAAAACAGGGCGTTCCTGAACCATAACTGACGTGAAATCGTATTATTGCAAGGGGATTGTCGCAAGAACTGCAGTTATGACAGACTAAATAAACAGACTAGCATTTAGAATTTTTTTCACAGCGTTTTATTCAAATCGTAAGCGTCGGACGTTTTGTACTCGGTCACAACTTACATGAAGAGATTTTTTCCCAGTGATCTAGTGTTTAATAGAGGAGTTTTGCAGCTGTTACACAAAACCCCATCGACGTGTCCGCGCGCAAGCCAAAACACGAAACAATAATCACTCATGAACCACAAACCGCGCAAAATTGTGAATGTTCGGTGACTTATTAGCCTTGAGACCAATCTCGCATATTACAAAGAAGACTTTGTCTTATCTGCACTCCACAAAGATAGAACAGATGACTAAGACGATGGTAATTTTTAAAAGAGGCGCAATGTTTCTTTGCTGCATTCGCTGCGATCCAATACCACCACAAACTTCCGTCCAGCGGCTCGCGCACACTCGCAACGTTACCACTTGGACGTAATTATCGAAAGCCTGCGATAAAGTTAACAGTGATGTTATCACACCTACTTTGCAGTTGAAATTTTCTAAATGAACGGATGCAAAATCTTGAATGTGTATTTGAAGTAAACCAAACGAGCTCATTCAGTGGATAATTACTTATCAGGACGGGGCTTAGCGTTCTGCACACAGTTTATGTGCATTTTAAGGAAGTTAAACCGGTTTGAACAAAGATGACCAGGTAAAGTTTATTTTTAAATTTAAGTTACATTATCTTCGATAACAACTGTGCGAGAGTACAAAAACGTGCACGCCGTTGAACACAGAGTTTGGTACAGACGATAATACTGAGCAGTTTAAACTCCACACTATAGATACACACAAGAGAAAAAGAATAATAATAAGAAGAAAATTATATGAAAAGGATTGGAGTATTGACATTTTCACATAATAGACCATTTTCTTGATTACTTCTTGTTTCTTCTTTTGGCTTCGTGGCTTTTTAACTTTTGCTGTTAGTACGATCAGCTCTTCCCACAGTTTTGTTTCTTGAAACAGATATCCCTTTAGCTTACCCCTAAGGTTTCAGCTTTTAAATCTTGCATTTTTTTGCTGATTTCTATCGTTTTGCAGCGATTCAGCCGCGACTAACCAATCTTTGTTTGTGTTTTTGCCAAAAAGTTCCCCGCTTTAGCCTCGCAATCATGCTGTGAATTCTCTCGTCCCAGGGCCGTCGGGGAATACGAATATCGTCTATTAGGGACCTTTAGCAGTGACGATGAGCACGTGAACGTTAACTACCGGAAGCTGGAAAACGAACCATGATGCTACCACGAATGCCCAAACGAGCACAAACTCGTCGTCCACACCTCGTTGAGGACGCCATTTGCCGCCATCTGTCGTCCTGTGGTGAACGTGAGTATTGCTTGACTTATTTTCCTATATTTTCAGACTTAATTTTGCAATTTCTTGAATCCCAAGGTTTTTCTTAGTAGATAAGACAGAAGCCGTACGTTATTCCTGTTGCTGTGAAGTAAAAAACCCTGATTTTTTCGATGCTGCAGGAAAAATTTGACAGTCTTAGTATAACTGCACTCGGTCAAAGAAGTGATGGATACAGCAGGAACATCAGGGTAAGTTTCAAGCGTTTTTATATCAAATGTAAGTTGTATTATTTAAACCGCATTGATAACAGTTTTGTAATCAATGCTGTCAGGATTTTTATGAAGTTTTGTTCGTCTTTGAAAGTCTAAACTATTCGTGTAAATACATTTGAGGTAAGAATCCACCTTAGCTAAACTCTGAATAAACTTACCTCACTTTTTTGCTGATATAAAAGCCCCCTCAAAGCCAAGTTGTTGTAGTCGTTAATTTTTGCTCATGAAGATTTTTTTAAATCGTTCTATAGTCATGTTTTACGCTATACTGATTTTCACCTCGAGAAAAAAAGTTTATTTACAAATAATTTTTACTGCAGCACAGAAATCATTTTAAGCAATTAATATGGAATCAAAAGTTTGTAAGCTTACCAGTATTAACACTGACTGTAAAAATATAATTATTGGCACTTTTTATTCAGAAATTATTCCATGAAGTGGTCAGAAGAGCACGATCTCATGCTATGCAGAGAAGTTCTTGTCATGAAAACATTCAAGCACCCAAAGCAAAGTAGAGAGAGAGGAGAAATCTGGGGAGAAATAGCACAAAACTTAAATGGGCTCAGTGTACCCAAATTCACTGTAAGAACGCGGTCTGTTAGGGACAGGCTCACTCTTTTGCTGAGGAAGTACAAAGAAAAGGTGAGAAACGAAGAGAAGGGTTCTGGCATGAAATGTGACGAGGAAACAGAATTGGAGATGGCATTGTCTGAAATCATAGAAAAAGAACAGGCAGCTGGTTTAGAAAGGAAAGAAAACACGAACACTCTTACCAAGAAGAATGAAAACGACAAGGCTTCAGCCGAAGAAAGTAGGTTGAAGGCCTTGGAGCGCCTGGGGCAAACAAAAAAGAGGAATGCCGATTCATGTGATGAAGTTATCAAACCAAAAAGCAGAAGAAGTACCACTGAAGCTGTGCAAATTCCAAAAGAAAAATTTGAGAATGAGAAGGAATTCCGGAAGGAAGAAATGGAATTGAAGAAGAAAGAGCAAGAAAATAAAGCAGCTCAGCATCAAATGCTGATAGATCAGCAGAGGCAGAACCAGCAACAGTACCAAGATGTAAGGAAGATGATGGCTGAACAGCAGCAGAGGCAGGAACAGCAGCTACAGAACTTTCAAATGCTTTTCCTGCAGCAGCAACAACAACAGAGTCAGATGTTAATGAGTTTATTTGAAAAAGTAATGCCCAAATCCTCATAACAGCTGGCAAAGGTAAAACAAAAGTTGAAAATCAAATTGTCAACCTTTGGCCCTTTCAGCCCTTTAGAGCCATGTTGTTGTTATCATAATTTTTAACTGATTATTTTCCAACTATAATTTTGTCTCTTTATTTTTCTGGTGACTTTGGCTGTCCAGCTTGATGATTAGTTTTTCTTCACCTTGACTTAAAGGTTGAAGGGGTGTTTACACCTCTGGAGAAAGGAATTTTCTTAATGCAGTGTTTACAGTGATCAAAGATACATAGTTGAAGCTAAGATAACTTAAGTAAACCCTTTCACTCACAAGGGTATAGAAGTTATGAATTAAAACTTGAAATTAACTATCACATGGCTGATAAAATGCTGCAAACCTTTGCATTAAGAGTCATTGCTGCTAGATAGGTGGCATAGTAATTAAAAACATGGTCTTAAACATCGTTGTGAGAACGAAAGTAGTACATTGATGTTTAGACAATGGGATTGAAAGGGTTAAATTAAGCTGTCCTTTGAAATTTTAGAACGTTAGTGTTAGGATGTGCTCCATTTTCTTACATTTAAGCATAGGTTGAGCAACAACCTCGTCCCCAGGGCTTTTCCCTTAAAAACGTTTTTAAGGGAAAAGCCCAGGGGACGAGGTTGGTTGAGCAAAACATTGAAATAAGAATAAAATACACATACCCTTTTCAGTACTCTTTTGAAACATTAGCATCTTATTGCTCAGTGTCCGGCTCTGGAATTATTTATATATTTCTTTTAAGCCTAGGGCTATGAAGGCGGTGGGTAGGGGAGGTCTTTGAATTAATCTTTTAACTTTTTGATGGATTGATCTATAGGCACCAAATTGATCTGGAAATATTCGTTTGTGCAATTGTCATGTTTATGTGACATTTGCATTTCCATAGCAACCACATAAATCAAAACTTGCATGTGTGTGGTTTTCTTTTATTTTCTTCCTGTACATTGAAGGTGCTTTTTTAAAGTATAATTCCTTCTTTCCTACAGTCTATATTTTACATCCCATTACACTGAATATAATCCAGGAAGGAGAAAATACATCATCAAAATCAGTACAGCTAGACTACAATTCATTGAAAGTATTGTTTCAGCGAAGGGGGTTCAATACCAAAATAATCACTGGTGTTATTACCATAAAGGCATGTAATGGCGTTACGGAGAAGTGCGCAAACAACATACATTTTACCGAAGCTGCTAAGGCCTATCTTCAAATTCTTTTTATAATCAAGAAATTTAAAAGAATTAATGACGTCACCGAATAACCATTCTACAGAAATCCGTAAAGCGCTCATATAGCCTCGTTGTAATCTTGCATGAGGGGTGTAAGTGGGACACGACGGAACGGTGTTTGGAGATGAACTCGGAGAGGGTAGGGCAAATCTCCATAAATGCACATAGTTTGAGGTGCTGGATTATAGGCATACTGTTGAAGGTCCCGCAGTAGTCCAGAATCGTTTAACATCCCTGCGTCGTGTTTACGCCCCTCTAGAAACGAAATTAAAATGAAAAATGAGAAGAGAATTTTTTTTCGGGGGGGTGTTTAAGTTTAAAACACTAACGTTTTATTACACACTCACCAACTGGTCCAAATAGGTTGCCAATAAGTCCATTTGGTAGGGACAAGGATTGGAATTTTAACGCGTGGACCCTCTTGTGGCCATTGTACACAATTCTCTGACGCTCATTTTGTCTTGAAATGGGTCGGACTGTTCCATCTACAAAACCGAAACAGTTGTCAAGGGGCCTCCTTTTCCTGATATAGCTTCTGCATAACGCTGCAAAGCTCCAGGATTCAGAAGATCTCGATTCCATTGTGTTATGCGGTGCCCTTGAACGTCATAAATATAGTCGATGACATCATTTGAGATCAAGTTTATAACAGAAACCGGTCGGCCAAATCGCGGAATCAGATCACTGAGTCTGCATGGGTAGGCAACTCGTTTGAGGAGTATGCATAGGCCTTCCATGTCGTCCCAAATACTCCTCTGCTCGCATTTAAACACAGGTGGTAGTTGGAGGGCTGCAACAAGGCGAGGGAGATCGTGTTTCTCGACACGAAACTCTGCTTTGCACTCCGCGGAGTTCATAGAATCCAAATCAAACCGTTGATAGTTTTCATGGGGAAAATCTGGATTCTTTGAGATGAAACTATCGTAAAGTAGCAAAAACTCTTCATCGGAAATAATTTCATCGCCGTAGAGAAGTACAAGGAGGTCACGAAATTCTTTGAAAGACATTTTCCCTGGTGACTTTCACTGTAGGAAGAGACTCGTCGACGTACCGTAACCGGTTTGCTAAATGTTTTTGTTTCCCGCCGAAATACCGCACACGTCACACGTCCCCTGATCTTTTTTTTTTTTTGTCTTTTTCTAAAATCTTCATTTGAGCTCATTACAGGGATTACACGTTCGGTCATAATAGCTTATTGTAGATCATTGTAGATCATTGTAGGTCATTGTAGGTCATTGTAGGTCATTGTTGATCATTGTAGGTCATTGTAGGTCATTCCTTGTTTTAGTAACTTCGGTGAAAACATTTAGCCGAAGATTCATTTAATGCCGATGATACAGATGCTTGTTCAAATGTTTGAGTCATGCTGTAGAAAGATAAATGTATGTTTACAGTATACAGTTCCTTCAAGTTCTCCAAATCTCAATTCATTGATTAAGATCTACTGACTTAGAATTAAAGTCCAAAAAAATAAGAACAATAAGTATACAATAAGCGACCTCATACATACTAATGAGACGAGTGGGAGATGCATGTACACTCAGATGCAGACGTGTATGCCCAAATTGCGTACACGCATTTCACCGCGTGCACATCTTTGGATGGTTGTTTCCGAACTGCACTGTATAGCTATCTAGGTATATAGTGCAACAGTGAAATTTGCATGAAGACAATCTTTCGGCCAAGAGCAATCCCCTTATATACGTGCACATACAGTCAAACCCCGTTTTTTGTACTCCTACTTAATGAAGACTGCTCATTAAAACAGACAGTTTGCTTTGTCCTCGGGGAAAGAAAGTCGATCCTTACCCTTACATTATCTCTTTCAACCTACTTAATATGAACACCCTGTTAATAAATACACTTTCTATGGCCCCCTCAGTGTCTGTATTAACAGACTTGACTGTACCAGCAAGCAGGAAAGGGGTTTACACTAAGTGTTTGTGCTTTCTATTGATCAGAGTGCTATGAAATACATAAAGTCTTAATGTATTTCATAGCACTCTGATCAATAGAAAGCTCAAACATCTTTCCATGCAATTCTTTATATCCTGCAGTACAAATTGCTGAGTTTCATTTTTCATGGTTTTGTAATGTTATTGAGAGGCGAAACAGGCGAGAACACAACAGCTTTAATCGAGCTCGTACAAGCACAAGGAGCACATGGTAAATCAGCCCGCCCGCTAAGACTAATGGGACATCTAAAGCGATTACATCACATCTCCCCTCTAAGTCGGAAACAAACTTTAAAGTAAAGTTCAGAGTCTCTAATGTTTAAAACGTTCTGGGAGTCTTATGTCGCGACCACTTCGCGTGGTCCTCCTAGGAGTGGTAGATGTCGGGGTATGCATAGGACTGTTGATCTTAATACTGGGCAAGGCTTGATCAGGAACTGCACTGTCTCTCTGGTTTCCTGCTTCAGGTGGGTCTGGTAGGGGGTTCAGGTGGCGTCTATTTCTCCTCAGCTCGCCATTTGGGGTCTCTACTGCGTAAGACCGTGGGGTGCCAACTTTGTCCAAAACTGTCCCTTCGACCCTCTGGTCCGGTAACCAAACACGTTCTCCAGGGGAGAGGTCTGAGAGGTTCTTTGCAAAGTGGTGCTTGTCAAAGTTCTTCTTTTGTCTAGCTTTGAGGGAAGCATCTTTTTCTCGGAACTGCTCCAAGTAATGTCAACTGGGGATTAGCTGCGCTGGAACAGGAGGGACTTGAGTACGGATTTTTCTTTCCATTAACAATTCTGCTGGGCAGAGTCCACTCTCAAGGGGTGTAGCACGGTATGCCAAGAGAGCTCTGTAAGGATCTTGAGCTTTCTTAAGCAGGTGTTTCACTTTTTGGACTGCGCGTTCCACTTCGCCATTCGCTTGTGGATACCTCGGGCTGGTCGTAATGTGGGTAAATGCATACTCTTCGGCGAACTGGGCGAATGCGTTTGACGAAAACTGCAGGCCGTTATCTGACACAAGTTGGTCCGGTATACCATGTCTTGCAAACATAGATTTGAGATGTACCACTATATCCGGTGAAGTTGGACGGGTTAGCTTAGCAACTTCAACATAACGCGAGAAGTAATCAACAACAAGCAGAAAGGTTTGACCTTTCAGTTCAAATAAGTCTGCGGCAAGTTTCTGCCAAGGGCGATCGGGTAGTTCCGATGGGATCACTGGCTCGGGTCTGTTTACACGTTCTTTGATGCACGTGGAACAGTTGTTCACCAGTTCCTCGAGTTGTTTGCTCAGGCCTGGCCACCAAACTGATGTTTTGGCTCTCTCTCTGCATTTAGTAATGCCGTGATGGCCCTCATGTAACTTATCTAGGACATCAAGTCGCATAGACACAGGAATCACCAGTCGGTTGCCTTTCATTAATAAGCCTTGCTGCACTGTCAGGTCACCTCTCTCTTGCCAGTAGGCTTTAAGTGGAGTAGGAAGATGGAATTTCTCTGGCCAGCCATCAGAACAATAGGTGATGAGTTGCTTAGTAACTTCATCTTGCTGTTGCTGGGACCTCAGCTCTTCAAGTCGATCTTCAGTAGCAGGTAAGTGCTTTATAACTGAGTCAACTTAGGCTTTGAAATCATCAGTCAACTTTTCTTCCTTTATGGTTCTATGGTCTAACAATGGGGGCTCGTGACAGAGCGTCTGCAGTGCAGCGGTTTTTACCAGGTACATGGCTGATAGTGTACGTGAAGCGCATCATTCGTATTCTGAATCGCTGTATTGTGGCGGGGAGATCCTCAAGGCTCTTGGAACCGAGCAA